CATGGCGGGCAGCGTGGGGGTGCCGAGCTCAGGGCCTCTCAGTGTGGGCGTTGCCTCCCCGCCCCCCAAGTTTCCCCCTCAAGACTTGGTGCCCTTCCTCCTTTGGTTCCCTGGCCCGGCTCCTAGGCCGAGAAGGGCTTGGGCCTTCCTCTGGGTGGCCCTCCTGAGGGCACCACAGGCCACCGACTGCTGGGAGGGGTGGGCACAGGCAACAGGCCCTGGTGGGGTCACCCCAGGCCTGGGCCCCAGATGTGACAGCCTCTGCCAAGGCCCAGTAAGAGGCGAGGACCTGCTGGGTCAGAGCTGACCGCCCGCCAACACACACATTCACACCCAGGACATCCGTCCAGCCATCTGGCCTCCGGTCTGGGGCTTTCAGAGCTGCTGCTCTCTGACCCACCGGGGGCCAGGGGGAGGTTGAGGAGGGCGAGTGCTGTGGGGTTTGGGGCGGTGTGGGGGCTGTGGACGGGTGTGGGCCGAGCTGACCGGTGCCTGGGCCCGCAGAGAGCATCATGGAGGAGGTGGTGATTGCTGGCATATCGGGGAAGCTGCCCGAGTCGGAGAACCTGCAGGAGTTCTGGGACAACCTCATCGGTGGTGTGGACATGGTGACGGACGACGACAGGAGGTGGAAGGCCGGTGAGTGATGGCCTGCCCGGCGCCCGGCTCTCCCTGGACATGGAGCCCGAGTGTGGTCTGGGCCCCGGCTGTGGAGGCTGAGGTCGCTCCTGGTGTGCGCTCGCCCTTCCACAGCTGGTGACCAGCGGGGGTCCGGGTGGGAGGGCAGGGGCGGGGAGCCGGGGCCGCCGCTGGCCCACGTGTCCGAGGCCAGATAAGAGCTGGCTCTGGGGAAGCTGGTTTGACTCCCTCGCGCCTGGTCGGCTCCCACGCGAGCAGTTCTACCTGATCCGCGGGTGTGAGTCAGCGCGGGGCCCAGCCCAGCAGAGCCCGGTGGAGGGTCTGCAGCCAGGGCAGGGGGGCTGGAGGAGACCGCTCTGGGGCCACTGCCCACCCTCCTGGGGAGCCCCGTCTCCCTGTGGGTCCCTTGGGCCTTGACGCCCCACAGCGGTGCCTTCCACCTGCTGTGTCTGCAGGACTGTACGGCCTGCCCCGGCGCTCCGGCAAGCTGAAGGACCTCTCCAAGTTCGACGCCACCTTCTTCGGGGTCCACGCCAAGCAGGCGCACACGATGGACCCCCAACTGCGCCTGCTGCTGGAGGTCGCCTACGAGGCCATCGTGGACGGAGGTGGGTCGCGGGGGGGCGATGGCCCACCTGAGGTCACAACGGGCAACACTGTTCTCGGGTCCTTTGCTCCTAAAAGGAACATGTTCAGAGAAGAACGGAGCGCAGCCGGCCCAGGAGGCGGGCCGAGCGGGGCTCCCTCTGTCCCTGGTTGGGACTGCCAGGCCCGAGGTTCGGGAGGCGTGGGCCCCTGGGCAGGTCTGGTTTCACAACTGGCCCGCGGTGTCCTGGGCGTGCCCTGGCGCCCCAGTTTCCTTACTCCCATCAGAGAACTGGTCTTGGGGTGAGGGCCGGTGCTGGGCTCCTGCCCTGGGTTGAGTCTGGCCCAGAGGTAGCTGGCTCTTGTCCTGGGGCTCAGACCTGTCCTTGCTGTGCCCACCCACCTGTGAGAAGGGGTGGCTGGCCGGTCCTGATGGGGAGCCTAGGGGCTCCCCACTCTTGTCTTTGGGTCAGCAGGGGCCAGCCGGCCCCTGGCCTGACACTGAGCAGGACAGGGCACAGACACATGCCTGGGGAGGGGCGGGAGGCTGGCAGACCTGATGGCCTTCTCGCTGCCCGGGCTCTACCCAGGGGCCTTGGATGCCGCTCCCCTGGGGCCGGCCAGGGCCCCTCCTGTAGGAGCCTGGACACTCGGCCTTTGTTTCCCTGTCTCCTTATCTTGCCTGTCCCAGGCAGGCGCCCTTGGGTCTTGGGTGTTCATTGGCCCTTGGGGCTCACCAGACTCCGCCAGGGACACCAGGGGCCAGGGGAGTAGCCTGGGGACAGTGCTGCCCTCTGTCTTCACCTCTGTCTCTGGCCGCTGCCTGACCCAGAGCCTGGAGCCCCACCTAGCACCTCTTCCCCCGCGCCCCCCCCCTTAGGCCCCAGTTTCTTGTGACCTGGTTCCTGGTTCTCTGTTCTCAGCCCTACCTGGGCTGGCCCCACCCAGTCCCTCTGGCCGGGCTAAGATGGCCCCTCACCCAAGCCGGAGGAGGGTGGGGGGCTCCTCCACAAGGCTGGGTGGTGGGCAGGGTGCGGCCAGCGTTCTGACTGCTGCTCCCACAGGCATCAACCCGGCCTCGCTCCGAGGGACCCACACCGGCGTCTGGGTGGGAGTGAGCGGCTCTGAGGCTTCGGAGGCGCTCAGCCGGGACCCCGAGACCCTCGTCGGCTACAGCATGGTGGGCTGCCAGCGAGCCATGATGGCCAACCGCCTCTCCTTCTTCTTCAACCTCAAAGGTGGGTGCCCGCCGGCCGCGCGGCTCCGGGCTGAGCGTCGACCTGTGAACCAGGCGGTCAGGGTTCCGTTCCCGGTCAGGGCACGTGCCTGGGTTGTGGGTTTGCTCTCCAGTGTGGGGTGTACAGGAGGCAGCCGATCCGTGATTCTCTCTTCATTGATGTTTCTGTTTCTCCCTCTCCCTTCCTCTCTGAAGTCAATAAAAAACGTATTTAAGTAAAATAAAAAGTAATAAAGGTGGGCGCCCCTGTGAGGGACAGCAGGCTCACCCTCACACCCCGCTCCACCCTCGGCCGCAGGGCCCAGCGTCGCCCTGGACACAGCCTGCTCCTCCAGCCTGCTGGCCCTGCACAACGCCTACCAGGCCATCAGCAGCGGGGAGTGCCCCGCCGCCCTGGTGGGCGGCATCAACGTCCTGCTGAAGCCCAACACCTCCGTGCAGTTCATGAAGCTGGGCATGCTCAGCCCCGAGGGCACCTGCAAGTCCTTCGACCAGGCGGGTGAGGGCGCGGGCCGGCGCGGGCAGCCTCCTCCCGCCTCCCAGGCCAGAGCGGGCGCCTCGCCTGCCTGCCACCTGAGCCGCCCTCTGCCCCCAGGGGACGGGTACTGCCGCGCGGAGGCCGTGGTGGTCGTCCTGCTGACCAAGAAGTCCCTGGCCCGGCGCGTGTACGCCACCATCCTGAATTCCGGCACCAACACCGACGGCGCCAAGGAGCAAGGTGGGAACTGGCCGGAGCGGGTGGGGGCGCCGGGGCCGGGAGGGGTGCTGAGCTGGCCCTCCCCCCGCAGGCGTGACCTTCCCCTCTGGAGAGGCCCAGGAGCAGCTCATGCGCTCCCTGTACGAGCCGTTCGGCGTGGCCCCCGAGTCCCTGGAGTACATCGAGGCTCACGGCACCGGCACCAAGGTGAGGCCCCGTGCCCGCGCCCGCGCCTGCACCCGGGCTGCCCGCTGCAGGCTGACCCTCCTGTGTCCCCCACAGGTGGGCGACCCCCAGGAGCTGAACGGCATCGACCGGGCACTGTGTGCCACCCGCCAGGACCCCCTGCTGATCGGGTCCACCAAGTCGAACATGGGGCACCCGGAGCCGGCCTCGGGGCTGGCCGCCCTGGCCAAGGTGGGCACTCCCTCGGGCAGGGTTGCGGGGCGCTGTGCCTGGTCCCTGCCCTGGTTCTGGGGGCCCGACACGCTGCTGGGGACCTCCCCACAGGGCTGCAGGCAGTGGCCGGGGCAGCCCCAGGTGGGCAGCTCACCCCCCAGCTTCCTGAGCAGCCTGGGGGCCTGAGTAACCCTGACCACCTTCGCTGGGCTCCTGGGTGTGGGCGCTTCCTGGGCGACAGGCTCCCGGCAGGTGGCCGCCCTCTGCCACGCTCGTGTCAGGAGCCGGACGGGTTCGGGCAGGGGCTGGGTGTCCGGCCCACAGCCACTTGGAAGTGTGCCTGGCTGAGTGGGCAGTTGGGGGGAATCCAGGCAGCAGCAGGGCTGTAGGTGCTTTGGGTCTCAGGACGACACGCTGTGTTGTCCTGGAGCAGGGTTTGGAGCACGGGCTCTGGCGCCAACCCAGGACTCAGGGCGCCACCGCGGCTGCGGTGTGGACCGCCCCTGCCGTCCCGGGGGTAAGTGGCCAAGACTCTTCGCTATGGCGCTACAACGTTCACGTCATCTTCGCCCAATGTTCCCGCCCCCGCGCCCGCCCCACACCCCTAGCCCGGCTACTGCTGCCAGCGGGGCACCCCCGAGGCCTGCAGGGGCTCTGGAGCAGGGCCGCCAGCACAACAGAACCTGGCCTTCGTGAGCATGCTCAAACAACATGGGGCCACGCCAGTTACGCCATGCCTTCCGGGCTGCGCCGTGCTGGGCGGCGAGGACAGCGGGCAGGAGGTGCAGCAAGTGCCCGCTGGGCAGCGCCCGCTCTGGTTCATCTGCTCCGGTGAGTCCTGGCCTGGCCTGCTGGGCGTGGGGGCAGAGGGTGGGTGGCCGGGGCCTGACACCTCCCGCCCTCAGGGATGGGCACGCAGTGGCGTGGGATGGGGCTCAGCCTCATGCGCCTGGCCTGCTTCCGGGACTCCATCCTGCGCTCCGACGAGGTCGTGAAGCCCTTGGGGCTGCAGGTGTCGGAGCTGCTGCTGAGCACGGACGAGGCCACCTTTGACGACACCGTCAACGCCTTCGTGAGCCTGACAGCCATCCAGGTCGGTCCTTGGGGTCAGGGTCGTGTCCGAAGGCCGGGGTGGGGGGGGATGTGGAGGGCAGGGCCTGGACCTGCCGGGGCCTCCCCAGGACTCAGGTGACACGTCTGCCCCCAGATCGCCCTCATAGACCTGCTGACCAGCCTGGGCCTGCGGCCGGACGGCATCATCGGGCACTCCTTAGGCGAGGTCGCCTGCGGCTACGCCGACGGCTGCCTCTCGCAGGAGGAGGCTGTGCTCGCCGCCTACTGGCGCGGCCAGTGCATCAAGGAGGCCCACATCCCGCCGGGGGCCATGGCGGCCGTGGGTAGGTGCTGCCCAGGGGCATGGTGCCCGTACACGGGCTGGTGGCCATCAGTGCGGTTTTCCCAGGAGCCTGAGCTGAACCCACGTGGGGACAAGAACCCCTCCCCACGAGGACCCACAGGACTTGGGATAAAGTCGGGGTGTCAGGGTCACTCGCCTTGGCTCCCTCCACAGGCAGGAGCCTGGGTGTCGTGATGAGGGAGGGAGGCCGTGGGCTGGCAGTAATGCCGCCTCCACTGAGATGAAACGCGGCGGGGGCGGGGGGGGGCCTGTAAAGGCTGCTCTCTCCGCGGCTGCAATTACCGAGCCGGTCATTAGTGCTGCCCCTGAGGCCTCTCTGCCCACAGGCTTGTCCTGGGAGGAGTGCAAGCGGCGCTGCCCCCCTGGCGTCGTGCCCGCGTGCCACAACTCCAAGGACACGGTGACCATCTCGGGACCTCAGGTGGGCGCTGGGGCGAGGCGGGTCCTCAGGTCCCTCCCCAGCCTCCGGGCGGGCTCTGCCGGACCCAGGACCACCCCGTCACCCGCGCCCGTTCTCCCCAGGCCTCCGTGTCCGAGTTCGTGGAGCAGCTGCGACAGGAGGGTGTGTTCGCCAAGGAGGTGCGGACGGGCGGCCTGGCCTTCCACTCCTACTACATGGAGGGCATCGCCCCCTCGCTGCTGCGGGAGCTCAAGAAGGTGGGCCGGCCACCCCGGGGCTGCCCGGGGCCGGGAGGGCGGGAGTGGCCGAGCACCTGGCGCTGACCAGCAGCCTGTGCGCAGGTGATCCGGGACCCACGGCCCCGCTCCGCGCGCTGGCTCAGCACCTCCATCCCCGAGGCCCAGTGGCAGGGCAGCCTGGCCCGCACGCCGTCCGCCGAGTACAACGTCAACAACCTGGTGAGCCCGGTGCTGTTCCAGGAGGCGCTGTGGCACGTGCCGGAGAACGCCGTGGTGCTGGAGATCGCCCCCCACGCGCTGCTGCAGGTACGCCGGGCGGTCCACGGGCTCGGGGAGGGGTCTCGGGTCTGGGCGCGCACAGGACCGCGGTCAGGCCCAGCCGACTGTCCCCGCAGGCCGTGCTGAAGCGGGGCCTGAAGCCCAGCTGCACCATCCTCCCCCTGATGAGGAAGGACCACGCCGACAACCTGCGCTTCCTGCTCGGCAGCGTGGGCCGCCTGCACCTGGCGGGGTGGGTCTGCGCCGTCACCAGGGCCTCAATGGGCCCCTGCTCCGTGCGGGACGGCGGGGCCGGGGGATCCCCACCTCGGTCTCTGGGTCTTCGGGGAGGCGGTTAGCAGTGGGTGTGATGGGGGTCCCAGGGCCAGGTGCGCCCCTAACCCACTCCCCACCCCCAGCATTGACATCAACCCCAATGGCCTGTTCCCGCCCGAGGAGTTCCCAGCCCCCCCGGGGGACCCCGCTCATCTCCCCCCTCATCAAGTGGGACCACAGCCAGACCTGGGACGTGCCTGCCGCGGAGGACTTCCCCAGCGGCTCCAGCAGCTCCTCGGCTACCGTCTACACCATCGGTGAGCCGGGCGGGGGTGAGGCCGGGCGGGGAGGGGCTCCAGCTCTCCCTCCGAGGTGGGCACTGAAGACTGTGCCCTGCAGACGCCAGCCCCGAGGCCCCCGGCCACTACCTGGTGGACCACCGCATCGACGGCCGCGTCCTCTTCCCGGCCACCGGCTACCTGTGCCTGGTCTGGAGGACACTGGCTCGCGCCCTGGACCAAAACATGGAGCAGATGCCCGTGGCTTTTGAGGACGTGACGCTGCACCAGGCCACCATCCTGCCCAAGACGGGTGAGGCGGGGTGGCCGGGAGGAGCCGTGGGGGTGCTGCCCCCTGAGCCCTGCTGCTCACCTGGCCCCGCTGTCCACAGGCACCGTGTCCCTGGAGGTGCGGCTGCTGGAGGCCTCGCACGCCTTCGAGGTGTCTCAGAACGGCAACCTGGTCGTGAGCGGTGAGCGGGGGCGGGTCACAGGGTCCCCCACGGGCCCCCCGGCGTCCACCTCGGCTCTGCCCAGCCCTCAGACCCCTGACTGCCCCCCACCCTGCCCACAGGGACGGTGTACCAGTGGGAGGACCTCGACCCCAGGCTCTTCGACAGCCAGGACGGCCTGGACGCGGCAGACCCCGCAGACCCCTCGGCCACCTTCCGCTTGTCCCGGGGCGACGTGTACAAGGAGCTGCGGCTGCGGGGCTACGACTACGGCCCCCACTTCCAGGGCGTCCTCGAGGCCTCCCTCGAAGGTGGGCACGGTGCCCCTGGACACCTCGGGGGTGGGCCCAGTGTCCAGGCGTCACGTGCCTGGTCAGGGCACGGGAAGAGGCTGCGTGCGACTGACCCCTCGCGCTGACGCCCCTTTGCCACAGGCGACACTGGCCAGCTGCTGTGGCGGGACAACTGGGTGACCTTCCTGGACAGCATGCTGCAGATGTCCATCCTGGGCGCCTGCCAGCGCAGCCTGCGCTTTGCCCACCCGCATCGCCGCCATCCGTATCGACCCCGGGGGTCCACCGGGCGCAAGGTGCACGCACTGGCAGGACGAAACCCCAGGAAGCACGGCCCCCGCACCCCTGTGCTTGCTGCGCCCCCAGGCCCCTTCCCCTCTGGGTTCGCTGCGCCCCCGGGCCCTGTACCCCCCGGTGCCCGCCAGGCCCCGGAACCTTTGGGCCCACTGCGCCCTGGGCCCCACACCTCTGT